AAGGACTCACAATTGTGAATATGTATCTCAACACTGAAGGCGCTTTCTCAAGGACCTGAGAGCCACCGCTCTGAAATGTCATCATCAGGAAGGCCAGTCTCCGTGGAGGACAGGAGCTTAACTTCAATAACTGCTGACCAGCAGATACAGCTGGCCTCATCGCATTCACATTGGCCAATCCCTACTCCCTCATTCTCTTGAAACACCCGAATTTCCTCTGCACAAATCAGAATGAAGCTTAGTTGTTTTTTTTCCTTTTAATTTACATTTGAAGCATTTGTATATTTCAAGCTGTCAGTAGTCACAGAAAAATCCAAATTCTTTGGACTTAATGTCCAGCTGTGTTGAACTTTGACACCTCCATAGGGAGTTACCTGATCCTGGGGCTCACCTCTACCCCTAGGCTAAGAGAGTTCTGGAAGGGATCCAGGAAATCCCCCCTTCACCTCTCTTCTTCCAGGGCTTCACGTCACATAGCCTGCTCTGTTGAGGGATAGGAATGAGGAAAGTGTCCCTCTGGACAGCCAAATTTCCTCTTCCAAACCACTTGACTTTCAGTACTATTTGGGCACCTGAGCACATACCACTGGTGAGATAAGGCTGAGCTCTTAGTAGTCTCAGCTTAACAAAACTATGTTTAACCTGCTTGTCTACCTACACCTAGATGAACCAAACCAAGGGGAGAGGGGCTTTCATCAGGGGCAGAGACTCTAAGGAGCAAGAAGGAGCACTGACTTGGAAAACAGGGCGCTGCAGAGGCAATGGGAAATGGCATGGTTGAGCCTTGCAAGGGGACAGCCAGAGAGCAGCTATTGGGCTTGGATGAGGACCGAAGGGAAAAGAGCTAAGGAATCTAAAAAGGGGGAACATAAAAGGACAGAGAAGGTGACATCATTAATTGTTTCATTGTTCACATTTTTCCTTTTGGCTCAGTCCTGCTCTTCACCTTCTATCCAAAAACTTAAAGTAAAATGTCTCTGCTCTGTACTTTCTTTCCTTTGCACCCAGCCAAGAAAAGCTATTTATTGTTTTATTTCTTCTCTTCCAATTATTCTGGCAAAATAATGTAAATCAAAGGAAGGGGCAAGGAATTGGTCACTTAATATCTTTGGGTCTCAGTTGAATCATGAGAGTTTTGGACTGGATTCATAGTTTAGCAAATGTTTATTAAATGAGTAGTATGTCCAGACTACTGTCTATATGCTAGGGAAATATCATATCTCCCTCCTGGAGCTTACATTGCAGTATGGGCAACATCCTAAAGGCAAATTAAAAAAAATAACAAAATTAAGATAGGGAATGAAAGTAGTATTTGATATGGTTGTCAGGAAAGAGTTCCATGAGAAGGTGACAACTGAGCAGGGATGTGAATGAAGTAAGGGAGCAGGCCAGGGGGAAGAGGATTCCAGGCAGAGGGAACCAGAAGAGCAAAGGGCACAGCATGAGAACATGTTAACATGGGCAGGCAGCAGAGAGAAGCACACAGTAAGAGACCTGGAAAAGTAATTCAGTGCCAAATCATGAAGGTCCTTGTGGCTACTGTAAGCACTCTGGAAATTTCTCTAATCATGATGAGAATTCATTGAATATTTGAGAGCAGAAGATGACATTTTATTACTAGTAAAAATAACAATATTTATATAGTACTTCATGTGTGCCAGTCTCTTTTCCAATGAATTCATTTAATTTTACAACTCTCTGATGTAGACATTATATTATTAGTTAATTTTACAGATGATGAAACTGAGGCACAAAGAAGTTAAGTAAATTGATCAATTATATTAATACGTTACAGATTTTGACCTTGAACCCAGGTGGTCTGCCTCCAAGGTCCTTGCCCTCAATGCCTAGCCTGTATTTATTCTGATTTCCATTGCTAAGACCCTCAGAAGTGTGAGAAAAGACCTTGGAGGCAAGAGTTTAAGCAGAGGTCCAATGAAGGGAGAGAAGACAGTGATGTGGGCTGTGGTGGTTGTGGTGAAGAGAAGTAGTGGTGAGATTTGAGCCATATTTTGAATGTAGAGGAAACAATATTTGCTGCTGGATTGCAGATGAGCTCTGAGAAAAAGCCAGGGATCCATGGCGAATCCAACTTTCTGGCCTGAGCAACTGAGTAGAAGATGGTGTTGCTTACAAAACTGGGGAAACTGGGAGAAGGGGTGGTTTGGTGAGGGGTGGAAATAGTTTTGTTTTGTTTTTTTTTTTCTTAATATGTAAAGTTTGAAATATATATATGAAACACCCAAGAAGATATATAAGAGAAGCAACAGGGTAAATAGAGTCTGGGTTTCAGACTGTAGATTTAAATTCATGGGTCATTGTCACACCAATGTTTGAGAATACTACGTGTCTGGATGTGATCTCCCACGGAGGGAACATAAGCACATCAAGGATAGGCTCTGGGCCATTCTAACCTTCAGAGATGATGAAGACGTGAAGGATCCTGGAAGAAAAGAGTCTGGAAAGGAGCAGCAGATGAATCAATGGAAAACAAGAAGTCAGGTAAGAAGGAGTTCGAAGGAGAAACTGATCAACTGTGGGAAATGCTGCTGATAGGCCAAGCAAGATGAAGACTGAGAATTAGCTACTGAATTTGGCTAGGAGGAGGTCATTTGGTACCTTGACTCTAAAGTGTTAGGGCCAAGACTGACTGGATTGGTTTCAAGGGACTAGCAACATTCTGAGGCATATGAGTAAAGATAATCTGAAAAAAGAGGTGGGGGATAGTAGCAGAGGGAAGGAGAGTGTCATGCATTTCCAAATACTTCAGTCCACTTCAGAATATTGTATTGAGCATCTTCTACACACCCAACACTGTTAGGTGCTGATACCAGTGAGATCGTAGTCTCAGTCATTCATTCATTTAGGGGACAATTGTTCACTGAATGCCTAGTATGTGAATTTGAAAACATTTTTTCTTAATTGTTATAATAACATTTTGACATTAAAGAAAATTTTAAAATTATGCCTATACTCTCATAATCCCAACACATTAACACTTTTCCACATTTCTTTCAATTACTGGACATACATTTCCATAGTTGTTACACAAAGTTATTAGTTATATCATAAGTCTTTTTTGTTTGTAGACATATTTTCGTAATACCTTAATTTGACAGCAGATATTTTATTGTGTGAATATACACCGTTAGTTATTTCCTCATTTTCCATTCCCAACCATTTATGTTATCTTCAAACTATAATAGATATTACAATGATTGTTTTTCTCTATGTCTGTCATCCTCATTAAGCTATGAGTATTCCTTCCAAATCCAGGACTATATGTGGTTCAGTTTTGAACCCCCAACATGTCCCAGGCACCCAGTCTTGACTTCTAGGAAGCACATGAGACCGTATAGTGGAGCAGCTAATAAGAAGGTTTACTGCCTTGGTTCTTATCTTGTGTTCTCCACTTGTAGGTTTGTAGCCATGGGCAAGATACAACTTCTCTATAGCTCATTGATAAATTACACATCATAATAGTACCCTTGAATGAGCTGATATATGCAATGTGCCTAGTACAATGTAAGCGCCCATATGAGTGCTTGATAAGTGTATTATATAAGAACAAACGTCCATGCCCTGAATATATTCAACGAATGAATAATAAACCAAGGAACAATTTTATCTGTGCTTTGCACAGGTAATTTTAAAAATTATTTTCGATTATTTGCTTTTGGGTTCAGTAACCATATTGTGAGCATGTACTACGTGTCAGGTATCCAGAGACAAATAATCGTTTCTTCGGATTAATTTCCCTAAGTGATATCAGTAAATGCAAGAACATTTCCACAGCTTTGATTATCCTATTATTTTGCCTTGGGGATTTAAGCTCCTTGAAGGCAGGGGCACTGTCTGAGTTTCGCACTGCTGGCCATCCTTATAGAGACTGCCACCTGCTAGTTCCACCTGCTAGTTCGTTCAGCCCCTTTTCTTTTTTCATATCCTTTCTCCTTTGCTTAATTGCTTTCTCTGGATCTCGATTTCTTGGATAATTTAATAATATTCAATTAGTTAACTCTGAAGGTGAAAGGAAAAAATCGAGGAGGTGGTGGTGGGCAAGGCATGTGTGAAGAGACAAGTCTACGTGGTAGACAGCCTTTGTGAGGAGGGGTCAAAAATGGGGACAGGTGACGACAGGGCATTGCCAGTCAGAAACAAATCACAAGAGACTACCAACAAGATTCTTGAACAAAGAACAATGAAAGTCATTACAAACCCTGTTAGGATGATTATGCAGACTACCATCTAGAATAGGAGAGAGCACTTGAGGTCTCTGGCAGAAATCTGGAGAAATGGGAATGAGTGAAAGGAAAGGAACATTTTTTTCAGATTATTTCCTTCTATAACGATTCATTCATTCGTTCATTCATTCAATACACATGTACTGGGGGCCTATTTTGTGCCAGGCAGTGTGCTAGGCACTGGGTATCCACCCGTGGAAAATACAGATTCAGTCCTGCTGTCATGACCATTTGTTTGTCCCACGACTGTCACTTGTGGCGAAGCAAGAGCTCCGGAACACCAAAATTGAGTCTGTTTCTTCCTGTCGCACTCTGTGCTTGGCACATGGTGAGCGCGCTCACATCCTGTAGTCTGAACTGATTCATTGCTTTGGTGCAGCAGGACAGCTAAGTACACAGAGCCGGGGAGAAAAGGCAGGGTGGCATCATCTCGCCTGGAAGACCAGGACCCTGCAATGAACGCCTGTGTGCAAATCTGTGTACAGTGGGGGCGTATCTTCCCAGTGCGCCTGGCAGCGGGCCAATCACCGGAACCCACCCTCTCCTCTGCGGGCGCGCTCAAGCCAGCCCAGGCGGTGGCGGGGCGCAGACGGGGCCAGGCGCAGCCTCGCGTTGGTTCGCAGGCAGGCCCAGCGCGGCTCCTCCTCGCCGCGGGCGGGGCTGCCCTCGGTGCCGCCCCGCGACCGGCGCCCCACGACCCGCGCTCCGCGAAGCTCGGAGCGCCGGGGGCTGGCGAGCCAGGGCGGCGGGTGGAGCCCGGGCAGCGCAGCGGCGACCAATCGCGCCGCGCAGGGGGAGGAGCCCCAAAGGGGGAAAAAGAAAGTGCGGCGGAAAGTAAGAGGCTCATTGGGGGAAGACTGGCCGGATCAGGGTCCCTGGGCTCGGCTTTGGCCAGACTCACCGAAAGAAGCAGTGTCGGGCGACCCTGCCGCCCGTCCCCACTGGTTCTCTGCGCCCGCTCTGCTTCCCAAGAAAGGTGAGTCTCTCGCTGTCGTGAGGGCTCGGAGGAATCACCTACCCGCAGAATCTCAGGGTGGAAGGACTCCTGAAAATCGTCTCGTTCAACCCTCTTATTTTCCAGAAGGACAAACTGAGGCACAGAGCGAGGTAGCAGCGGGGATAGATCACACAGCTAGTTAGTGCTGTGGTCGGGACTCGAACCCAACTGTCCAGAGCCCCATTTTTGCTTTGTGCAGATTGAGGTAGCGCAGTTTGGGGACGGCTGCGCGTTGCTGCACCCCAGTTCCAGCCCTCTGAGGGATCTACCCTGGCGTACCCCCGCCTGGGTATCTCCAGAGCGCTGCTGTGAGCGGTGAGGATAGAAGAGGGCGGTGTGTCCCAGCCTGTCTCATGCCAGGAGCTGTGACAGCCTGGGGAAAGGCTGCTTGCAGCCTCGCTCCGTCCTCCCCTGACCTGCTTTCTCAGAAAGATACCCCTGCCGAGGGTGTCTGGCTGGCTCCTGGGGAGGCGGTGGCGAGGGGAGGGACGTCGGGGCTCGGATGACTGGGGTTGGTACTCACAGCTGTCTCCCTGCGCGGGGAGGAAGCTGGTGGTCCCGTAGGGGATAGGATGCTCCTCGGTTAGGAATAGCTAGCTTCATGGAGCCATGGCCCCCGTCACTTCTGAGTGCCCGGGAGGCAACAAGGAAACTGAGTTGAAGGGAAAAATCACAAGCAGAAAAGCAAACTTCTGCCGTTTTCTTTAAGAACCAGTACCCAGTCTGTCTTCCCTCCACCTCCGGCGGTGAAATCGAGAGCCACCGCCGCTGGGAGGGCTTCTGCTGCTCCTTTCCACAGATCCCGGGTTAGTTGCCGGCTGAGGAGTATTTAGACCTGGTTTTGATTCCAGCTCTGCCGACTATTAGCTGTGTGAACTTGGTGGGGCAAGTTATCTAATCTTCTCGGTACTCAGTTTTTGCCCCTGGCCGCATCAGGGAGATGATAAAGATCACAATGAGCCCTGAGGGTAGTTGGAAGGATGAAATGGGATAATTCAAATGGTACGTCTAGCGCAGTGCCTGGCCTGACAGCTGGTTAATTTGAGATCGATGGACACTATTGTAAATATTGTTACACACTAACCCTGGAGACAGTGGATTTTCAGAACGGTGATTTCATACTACCTTAAAGTGACTTTTTTTTTTTTTTTTTTTTTTAAATCTGGAATGCTGTGGCTTTTTCTTATTTGGAGTTTGAACAGCTTTTATAGGAAGTGTTTTCGGAGTGCTGTCTCCATGTGACTTTGATCATGGATGCTTGAGCTGGAAATATCAAATTAATGTTTCTCAGTGATGCCGAGGCCCCTCGTTTTTAGGCCAAGCCTCAGTCTGTGAAGCCCTGGTCTGAGGCACCTTTTATTTGCAAAGACGGTCTTGAATTTGATGAGAAGTAGGAAGACAAGGGAAGTTGGAAGTTCCTTCTGTGTTACAGACTGTGCTAATCCTTGTTTTCCTGCTGTCTTAGGTCAGACAAGCAACTTTATGTTTTCTTTAATAGAGGAAAACAACAGCACAATTCTCACGTATTTCTTTGGGATTATGCCGTGATGTTGCTAAATTCAGTCCCTCTGGACACAGACATACCTTATTTAAACATAAATACTACACATGCCTACTCTAGTCGTCCTTAATTATTGTTATTTTAAAATGAATAGCTCCCCTCATATATCCCCACGAGGCTCATGAAAATTGATTTTATTCTGATTGACTTTATACAGTTATTTACTAGTGTCTCCTGGCTATGCCGTTAAGTCCCCGAATTGAGTGTTCAGCATTTATAGTTGGCTGCCTGCTTCCCAGTTCCTTCCATTTGCGTGGGGTATTGATGAGTGCATAGGAGGGGGTGTGATACATCTTGAGGGAAGAGAAGAACTTGGCCGTGTCCCTGTAGGTACCTCCTGCACCAAGCATTTGCAGGGGATGGGATCTCTTGCTTCCATCAGCCTGTTCTGTGTGCATGCATTGTGATCAGTGGGCCAGGATACGTCTGATCGTGTGCCTGAGAACTTAGGGGGCCTGTGGGCAAAAGGAAAATGTTAAAAAATAAGGTCAGAACAAGGGGATGGAAGGGAGATTGGAAGGTAATTTTTTTTGGTTCCGGCTCTTTAAAGAAAGGATACCCAGTTATATCTTTCCTCCTTATCCAGATTATTTGTTACAAAATTCATACATATAGATAGATAGAACTTTAAAATTTCCAAAACATATTCCATATATATTATCTTTCTTGCTACTTGCAATAGCCCTGAGAGAAGGACATGGGAGGCATATTAATGGTGGAAGGAGCTTAGGTTTTGTGGTCAAATTCAAATTTCAGCCCTAATTCCTTTGCAGCTAGGTCATACTGAGCAGTTTTTTTCACCATTTAGGGCTTTTGTTTTACTCAATTCTAAAATGGAAAGGAAAATGCTTACCCCGAGAATTCGTGTGAGGATAAAATTAAGTGGAATAATGTAAAATCTATGTAGTGAGTAGTTGCTCATTAAGTGGTATCTCTTCTTAGCTGGTCTCAAAAGAGACTGAGTGAGACTCAGAGAAAGGAGAGGTTGCTAAGAGTCACATGGTTATTATGTTTCGGCCTGTGAGTAGAGCTTACACCTTGTAAATTCTAGTTAAGGGTTTTTCCCTGTCACACCCCATCCCGTCACTGCTCTGAGTTCTTTAACAATTTACCTCAGTTAAGGTGACCTTATTGGGCTGGTGTAGGGGATCCTTTCTGTCCCAAGAGGAAATTTCCTTGCTGAAGGAACAGTCCATAAGCGTGCTCTGTAGAGGTTAGGGGGGGTCAGCTCCTAGGAGAGCAAATTCAAAAGCCCTGATATCTAAGGCAACATTCCTACTCTCCTGCCTTTAAATAATGCACCTTCCATTCCTAAGAGGAAGGGGACTGTGAAGACATGAAGTTCAGAATTATATTACGTATTTCTTCCTGTTCTGAGTGTTTTCTTCTCTCTGTCATCCTTGTGCTAATTCATAGGGCAGTAAGAAGGTTGTGCAACAAATGTCATGAGTGACCATTGTGTTCTTCACTTCTCTCGCTAATGCAGGGGGTACAGGATGGAATGGAGAGCAGTAGGCAGAGGTAGCATTTGCAAAAAAGACCACTCGCTGCTTGTTGACAGTGCTGATCACTGGTCTGGAGCCTCAGTCCTCCCTGTGGAAAGTGATGGCTGCAGGCTTATGTAGGAAAACGAACAGATCTGTTTCTGGCCCAGGCAATGGGGCCATTTATCCGTTGAGACTCCCCATAGGTCATCAGGTTTCTCTGCTTTGCAGCAAGCAGACAGGCTTGCAAATGCAGTTCTGGGAGAAACATTTTTGTTCCTTGCTTTTGGCATTTGGAAGCATATGTTTGCCAAAAGGTATCCAGTTAGCGTCATCTTACCTGGCACAGTTAGAAAAGCAGAATGTGGCTGGACAAAATCGGAGGAAGAGGCAGAAGAGAAAAATAAATAAATAAATAAACAAACAAATAAATAAATAAATAAAGGTTATCTCCAGCATACACACAGTTTCATTTGTTGCTCAACTTTGTCAGGGCTTCTGCTGGTGACACAGATGTAGGATCTGGTGAGTCACTGTCGCCTTGCCCGTGAAATATTAAAGAGAGCCACCTACTGTGCTCTTTGCAAATTTTGGAAATTGCTCTGTGGGTGAAATAAAAACCCCAAAGAATGGAAAAGTTACAGAACATTTGGCATCTGATCTTTTGTGGGATTAATTCAGTTTAGCTACTCATTGGCTCAGGTTTGTTTGTTTGCTTGTTTTCTCTTTTAGAAATTGAGAATGTACCTAGGGGATTGTGGCACTGATGGGGAGACCTCCTGGTAGCCTGACTTGATTCTGCCCAGCTCTGGCACCTGGGGCAGTGTCGAGTTGTAGAATCTGACAAGGACCTGAGGCAAGTTAGGGTACTGTGGTGAGCCTCTGTCTCCTCAGCCGGGAAACAGGAACACTGACGCCTACCCAGAAGCTGGAGTCCCTATCCCAGCACCTTATTCACTGGAGGCATTCAATAAATGTGAATTCTGCCATTAGTTCTTTCAATTTATTAGTCTGTTAAATTGTGAAAATCAAAATGTAATAGTTATTCGCTACTGAACTCCATTGTGGATTGTACTGTTTTATAAGTATCACCTCATTTAATCCTTGCAGTGACCCTGTGTATTTTTGGAGGCAACTGAGGCTCAGAGACATTAAGTAGGTTGAAAGGTCTGAGATTGTGTGGCCTCTGGACTAGAAGTGAGAGCCTGGGCTGGGACCAATGACACCCACCCATCCCCATCCTGCCATTCTGAGTCTGGGATTACCTTGCCTGGAACTGAGAAGTCTCTAGCTCTGGGCTTCAAATGGGAGGTTCTTCTGCCCCAATACATTGTTATTTTTCATTAAGATTCCCTTCAACTCCAAAATTCTGTCTCCATATCTCATTGTAAAAGTCGAAGCTAGAAGAGGAAAGGGGAATAAAGAGAAAATACCCTTATGTTTTATGCCAAGAGATCTATTTTCCGGTCAAACAGAGGAGGGCAAAAGAAATCAGCATTCATTGGTACGTGCACGTCTGTCATTTCACTTAAGCATAAAAATAACTCTCAGACATATATTATTATCCGCCTTTTACAGATGAAAGAACGAAGGCTCAGGGAGACTTACGGACTTGCTCAAGGTTAGTCAATTAGTAAGAACTAGATTTGGTGTGTTTCTGAGCACAAAGGCATTCGGGCTACCTTACCGTGTTTGCTAGACACCACACCATCAAATCGGAGGACTTGGAGAGTTAGATTCAGGAATGTCCCCTCCTTGTGTCCTCATACCATACCATCGCAGTAGCCATGTCCTTTCCTCCTCTACCTTCCTATGCCTGCTGCTAGAATCCTTGCCTCATTCTTCCCAGTCTGTGGGACCACATGAAATGCTTGTACTGTCTTCTTTCTATCTCTACTGTGATTTTCAAAACTTATTTGTTTGTTTTCACTCTG